GTATCTATTGGTTTTAAAATCGATTCAAAATCAGCGTAAATTACAAATGGAACCCTAAGTTGCTTATCATAATTTTGAAACTTAAGTATGTTTTCAGGTACATAATTACCGCGTTTGTCTTTTTTCAGCTCCACTGATGGTGTGCTGGTGTATATATGATTACAATCGCGCAACTGGTGCCGCAATAGTATGCTTTCAGATCGGAAATAAAGTAAACAGCCGTCACAAAAAAATTTTTTATGTTCATTTCTAGTTACTTGATTCGATACCAATCTGGAAATATTTTTAATCCAACAGTAGTGACTATTTCCTGAATCCTCCGTTATTAATAGTAAATTTATATGGTGACCTAACCTCCTAGAGGAATATCGTAATGGGCCTACTATTTCGAATTTAACCTTACCATTTTCATAACTACGTTCCAAACCATAAACATTAACACTTATGTCATTTAAATCTTCAAATTTTGAAATGTCTTTAAGCTTCATAGGGAATTCAATACCATCAACATTCAGCACGGTCTCGAAGTGTGGATACGATGTCGTTAGGTGAACATTGTCCCTCGCTGGATATAGCGCCGACGTGATGGCCCAAGCAAAGCAATACGCATCATTATTTTGGACATTAACTACACCCTTCTTGGTTTCAATAAACTTGGGGAGCTTAATGTACGAGCAGCCGCCTAATGGGGAGTACTTATTTATATTTACTTCTAAAAATAGTACTTCCCGTAATGTCCAACCTGAAACAATTAGTAATATATTAGTAAACGCTATACTATGAATTATAAAACTATTATACCTGAATCCTTATGTTGAAAGTCTGCAGTTTGAGATACCACAGCATCCTTAAAGTCTACATATACCGCATCCAAATCCGTCGACAAATCGAGTATTCGATTTATGCTGTTAAAAGATTTGATTTCAGAAACATCTTGGCTCTCCAATGCATAAGTAGCGAAGGCCTCTACATTAACTTTAATGGCATTATGGGCCTTCAGAACAACTTTTAACAATTTCAATACTCTTAATTTTATCGCATCAAAAAATGTTACATAATCTATATGTTTTTCATCACATTTAAGCCTGTAAGTTGCGATTCTGCACTTAAACGCGCTCTTAATTAAATATATACCATCGGCATGAATTGCACAGGCTTTTTCTTTATGCCCAAGACTCCTCATATGCGACGTCATCTGATTGGTAGGGACATCTACATTACATGATTCACATCTTCTATTATGGGCCTTTGAGTCTACGATGCGATGCGTATGAACTTGTGGAACTCGCATTACCCGGGCTTTTTTTTCAGGTGGAACATCATTACTGGGAGTAGTAGATCTCTTCGTACCTCCGGATGATTCGCCGATGCGGTTAGATATCAGCTTACAACTTTTATTTTGATGTCGACGTAAATTATCTACCCTTGTATATGTTAAACCACAATTGCACTTATACATGTTTATTATTTTTATGATTATTTCGATATTAGATGATAGAACTACCGATAGGCTTAAAGCTAACGATATTTGTACGGATTTGGATGCGGGTCCTACTATATATATATCCTCTAGAAAATTCCACCACCTCTTCTTAGCTCCTCCCTCGATATTTCAGTTGGGCGCGTCTATCTATGGCGCAGCTACCCCTTCTTAGTCCCTTACCACGATATTTCGGTTAAGCACGACCGTCTCTGACGCAGGCTAAGCACTCTAGGCACGACGGCCGAGAGTTAAGGATGTGCTGCCAACAGTAATCACTAGGAGCTTAGATAACATTCACTACATTGCATACAGTAATTACTACCTAAGGTGTACTTACACTTTAATATGTATGGAGTAATGAGATGTATACCCTGTGGGTAATTGGGAGGTACTTATTATGCAATTACAATCATTACAGTATGGCGTGTATATGGTAATTGGGAGGTACTTACTGTGCAATTGCATTTATTACAGTACATGCTGTAATTGGGAGGTACTTGCTAATTGCGCGTCTATCTCTGGCGCAGGCTACCCCTTCTTAGTCCCTTACCTCGATATTTCGGTTAAGCACGATCGTCTCTAACGCAGGCTAAGCACTCTAGGCACGCCGGCCGAGAGCTAAGGACGTGCTGCCAACAGTAATCACTAGGAGGCACTTAGATAACATTCACCACACTACATTGCACACAGTAATTACTACCTAAGGTGTACTTACACTTTGATATGTATGGAGTAATGAGATGTATACCCTGTGGGTAATTGGGAGGTACTTATTATGCAATTGCACTTATTACAGTACATGATGTAATTGGGTGGTACTTACTGTGCAATTGCACTTATTACAGTACATGATGTAATTGGGAGGTACTTGCTAATTGCGCGAAGGGTGGGGGGTACTTAGGATAATTACTAATTACCCAATTACCTCTCTCTGTACCTCTTTCTCATTTCCAGAACCGGCCAATTACATCTACTACTGTACTGACAACACTTCTTCTTAGATTCGGCCATGTTTTGTATCAATTACCTACCTGTAAATGTGTAAATGAAAAAATAAAAAAAAACTTTGTTTTAGTAATCTTAAGGCGATTCGAACTTAACAGGATATGGCTATTTTAACATAATATGACTAATCAATTATTATAAATATTATGAAATAAACAAAGTTTCGGCTGCAAACTGTTTCTAATTATTAAAAGCAATAAATCGCTAAGATCCATAATAGAGTTTTATGAAAACGGTTGAACTTATTTTAATGTGATATATTCTGTAAATTCTATAGAAACTTTTAAACAATATTTTGATATCAAAACTCCGCAATAATTAAATGAATTAGATAGGTAATCAAAATAAAGTAGGGACGTGGATAAGTTCAATCTTTCTCGGCTTAAAACTATATGCATAGGTATAACAAATAGGCAGGTAGGTAACTTACTTTTCCGACACTGGCAATCATTAATATCGATTCACTTTTCTTTATGAAATTCCAGAAACAAATGAGTAACGATTATCCTTGACATTCGTATTTATATTGGTGAAGAATCAAACACGTTCATGCAAGATTGCAAGCACATACACAACAAGTCGTATTAATTTGCACGTCTGAACAAGCGCTGCGGACGGAATAGTATATTGCTTCACTATCGAAACCAAATTAATTTTCATGGACCCCCATTTTTTATTACGCCCAACGTAGACCCCCGTCGAGTCTCCCGTGGACCCCTGGGGGTCCACCTGGACCACTTTGGGAAATACTGGTCTAGCGGTTCTAATATATCGACCTCCACTGGGGTGTGGGAGAAGTAAAGGGGAGGAAACGTTGGGTGGTTTGAAATTGTTTCAGACGTGACATATGGTCTCACTTTTAGTTATTTTCTATCTTTTACCATTTAGGCGAGGCAGAGGAAGAGGCGGGGAAGTTGGAAGAGTTTTAGGAGAATAATTTTTTGTCGCTTTTCGAGAACCTCCCTCCGTCCATGTAATTTTTTCCATGTCGGATCGAAATTAAAGAGTACTTAACTTCGCTATAGGCTAATTTTATTAGTCAATCATAATTCATAATTGTAGATCAATGGATTTTATAATATCGAAGGTTGGAAAAAATATTTCCAATTGGTTCATAAACAGAGGAGAAAATATTAGACACGATGATCTTTAAATAAAAAAAAAAGAAAAAATTAGTGCTCCAGCCAGGGATCGATCCAAGATATCAGAGTATAGCCTACGATGCCTTTACCAATTAAAGCCTTGGTTTCTTTGAACACTTCGTCGCGGTGAGCGGACAGTCCGTCAACCGTCGCGTTTTGTCGATTTTATCCAACCAGAGTATTTAAATGGGAATGGTTTTCTTGAATCCGCTTAGCTGAACAGGACGGCGTCATGCCGCTGATTTGTCGCGAAGAGTCGGTTGATATCTGTTGAGTTTGATATCAGCGGAATCGTCGGCGTGTGCGGAGACTATTGTTATTAATTTTAAAACAATGAGTGACAAATTCACACATACAGATGACATCATGACTTTATTTTTAGGTTTCTTGGAATTTATAAAACTCAACACGAATTCAAAAAGATCTGTAGAAAGTCTAAAATACTCCCTAAATTTGGTTTCATTTCCAAAAAGCCTCCGCTGAACAGTGATATTAAAAGCACCTTGTGTATCGCGACACAAAAACAACTCATTCACTGGCTTATTGGAAACTTTGACGGTTGCAATTGACAGTTCCTTTTGTTCTTCCTCTTCCAACAATAATAACAACGCAAACAATTTATTTGCAACCATTTTAGTACCTTTCGTTTACATTCATAATACATAAACAGCACGTACAGACATAGAGAAAGTATAATTTTCTATATTTTTTAACAAACCACCTCGGGCGAAAATTGCTGTTCTCAGCGGTCGACGGACTTTCCGCTCACCGCGACGGAGTGTTTAAAGAAACCAAGGCTTAAGTCAGCGCAACACATAACAATAGTCGAATTTGACGATTTACATACCTCATCCGTTATTTGAGATTGTCAACCGGAGAGGTACGACATATTTTTAATCAATATTTTTACAACGTTGAGTTGTCTGATGTGTCCTTTGCAGGCATTCTCAATTAAATCCTTGCAACAACTTCACAAAATTCCGTACAATCTTAATACCTTCGCGGTCCCTATAGCTCTTAGTAGTTAATTTAACTAAAGTTTCTACAGATCCATGTTTAGTCCTGAAAGTGAAAGTCATTTCAGTCAATATTAGTATAGTATTTCCTTTCCAAAAATAATTAATTCGGAATAAAGTGTAACAACACCCAATAAAATTTTTAAATTAAACGTAGACAATTGGCACGTGATGTCAATATATTAAATGGAATACTTCATTAATATTTCGACCAGGTCCGTTCGCATTTTTCTTGAACAATTTCAGCATAACAACGATCATAATTAACATAGTTACAATTTTTGTATCCTGAAAGGAAAGTCAATACCCAGAACTCAATAGTAAATCACTTTTATTTTGATTATCACACTTGTAGGATAACTATCGACATGAGAGAGGTTATAATTAGTATTTTTTGTGTTGTTGTTAGTTTGTTTTGTGTTAGAAGTGATTCTTACATGGACGCTTACAAGCAATCTCAAAATGAAAAATTGGACGAGATTTTAGTTAAAGGTGGTAAAAATATTGATAGGGAATTCATTGAAAGTAATAATATTCCTTATAATTATGGGGCACCACCTGGACCAGATTCGAATAACTATGGACCACCCGTATCTCAGTAAGTAACCAACATTTTTTATAATTATGCATATTTTTTTCTACAAAAATATGTGTCTTAAGAATGTAACACTTTGGAATAATTTAAATAGATAAGAATTTTGGGCAGTAATTAAAACCTAAATTTTTTTTGTAGGGATTCACTAAAGTATTTTTTTTTCATAATTTTAGAAAAAAATTGTCCTTTAAAATACAAAGGGTTGCATTGGATGGTAATTCTGGTATATACGTACTAGATACTTGTTAGTTAAATTAAACAATAAAATGTATAACCTTGTTTATTACACTAATGATCTTAAATCTAATAATTATAAATAAACTATAAAGAAAAACTAAAAATTTACTAAAACACTTTATCTAGCTTTCCTTCCAGAAAAAGAAGTAATGGCTTGGCCAATGTCAATTTCTCAAATCATTTTCAATTGCCAAAAGTGCTAGAAAATCCCTATCTTGAAAAATTCTGTTTTTTAAATAATTTTTAATTTAGAGAAAGACCTTTCATTATTTGCGACACTTACGGGTAAAGTCAAATACATTATCAAAGCTTTAATGGTATTGGGAAAGCTAAATACGCATGTAGAATTATCAAATATTTTAAAAACTCAGTTATGCTCTCAATATTCTGTTGTCACTAAAGTTGTCACGTATGCTTATTATACGATCAGTTACACCTCAAAAACACAAAATTGATATTTAAATAATCACATAAATTGTAAAATTATTGTTTACCTATACAGGGTGATTCACAAAGAAAAGGTTATATTTTACCTGCAAATTCTATAGTGCAAAATGTTAAGATTTGGCTTAGAACTGGGGGTCAAATATTAATATATACTGAGAAAATGTAAAAAATATAAAATCTTTATTAAAAAAGTAACAAGCTGAATAAATTTATATTAATTAATAAGAAACAAATTCGGTAAATTTTAGTTTTTTTAAATATCTCAAAAATTACATAATTTTGAAAACTATTCCGAGATCTGCATCAAATTCTTTAAAACATTCACCATCCTATATTAAACGAGATACTAATATAGGAATTTAAATTGCGGACACACTATATAATTAAATTGTATACTTACTTTTTATTTAGATACGGACCCCCAAATCCAGCATATAACGCACCCAATCAACCAGCTCCACCGCTATATGGTCCTCCAGCTCCGCCACCTGCATATGGGTCTCCAGCTCCGCAAGGGGCATATGGACCTCCAGCTCCACCACCAGCATATGGCCCACCAGCGCCTCCACCTTTTGTTTATGGGCCTCCTGCACCCCCTATATATGGACCACCCTCTTCTTCAGTTCAAGTCTTCTATGGGATGCCGCATGCATTAACTTCTTTTTGGGAAAAGTTAAAATTTAAACTAGATCTTTTCACGATAGGCAAAATTTTGTTGAAGCTGGTATTGTTTAAGAAATTCGTAAGCTGGGTCGCTTTAATTTGTTTATTGTTCTTTATACCCTCATTAAAATCTAAATTTGGAGCTGTCACTGATGGTGGTGGGGAGAGAAAAATTAAATTAAAAACTAAATTAGGTAAGTAAATCTCTTTTTTAGAATCGAGATACTAGATAGATAATACTTTTTTCGTTCTATCCACGTATAAATCTGATACAAATTCTTGGAGAAGATCCAAATGATGTATGACGTAGAAAAACAAATTTGTCATTTAGAAATGAGATTTTATCTATTGTAAGGTCGCGACTCATTCCTGTTCTGTTTTTACCTGATTTCAAATTTATTTTTTAAATGTTTCATTTTGGCTCCTACTGATTGGAGAATAAAATTTGATTTGTAAACTTAGATGACTTCCTTTTTGGCAACAATATAATTTTTTTTTACGAAGAATTTAATGAAAATCCATCGTTTATTATTCTCGAGCGTTAAAGTTAAATTAATGTTTTTTTTTATGTTTCAGGTGATGAAGAACTGAATAAACTATACAACTCTATATATAAAGCACTGGATAATTTTTCCTACAATTCTCAAAAAAAGCAAGACAATAAACAAATATTCCATCTTAGGTAGCGAATAAATTAAATATTATTTATTTAAGTTTTAAATAATTATTTATTTCTAATTTATTATCGTACATGTGAGAATAAAAAATGGAGCATACTATTTTTTTTAATTAAATTTTTTTATTAGTGCATCGTAATTGGACAAGTATAACTAATTAATTACAGGTGACAATTTCCTTGCTTGAAACTAAAAATGCCCTTTTTATCAGCTTTTACATTTGTAGAAAATAGCAACAGACTGAAAGTCGTATTTCAGCTGTAATTCTGGGGAAAATGGCTGCAATCAGTTTAAAAGTCCATGTGTTACGTTACGTAAACTAACACACGAAAATATAAAAGAAAATATCAATAATTTCCGTTTTGTTAAATTATAAACCTGTTTCCATAACTAAGTTGCTGTGTGTATTTAGTAACTTATTACTAACTCACTGGAATTACAGAATTATCGATATTGTATATTTTATTTAATTAATAATGATAAAATTGATTTGTAATTGTAACACTCTGCATATCATCGTAAATAAATTTAATCATTATTTAAAATTAATTTGTCAAAAATAAACTGTTGAGTACTTTAACCAAGTTAACTAACCTGTACGGTCTGGAGCTATGGATAATTTTTCGAAAAAATTATACGTTAAAGATATGAAAAATTAAAATAACACCTAATTAAATTAGCTAATATCATAGATCTCAGAAAGTCTAAATACATCATTGTGAAAACATTTTGAGCCTTAAACATGCTGGCTCTCACGATAACTGAATTTTTAAGTAGTACTACTAGACAAGACAGATCAAAGAAAGTTTGATGCTAACTTTTGGATCGTTTTGGTCGGTGTGTAGTGTATTTAAATTTAAAACTTTCTAGTTTTAGTATTTGTCTCTTGATTTTGTTAAGTATTTTAAATAATTTTCTTACGTAAGTTTGAAGTTCTAAAAAAATTGTAGTTTCCTTTAATGGACTATTTCCATGCGAAGTTTTGGTTAAAGTTAGTTTAAATCAATCAATCATTTATATAAAACTGAGATACACTGTAAGCTATTGATTATGTGATATAGAAAGGAACGATCACCATCATGAGTTTTTATCCAATGAACTGTTCAAATGATCACTAAAAATAAAAAAAAAGAACCACGGAGTACTATTAAATTAAAGGATGGAAATTGGAGATTGGGAAGAAGATGTAAACCTTACAGTTTTTAAATTATATCTTCTCGATAAGTTATAAAAGTAATTTAAAAAAAAAACGACTTCATAATCGTGCAGATGCCTTCACCACATCTTGACCAAATTTATAGGGGATCACCCCTGAGGTACCCCTTTACTAACAAAAAAAGAATCATAGAAATCGGACAAGATGATAAAGAATTACCTCTAAATATACATAAAAAATGAAGAGTTTGAGGATTTTCTAATAGACCCAATTGTTAGATTTTGACCAAATTGATATGGGACCACCGCTGAAGTATCTCCTTTCTAAAAAAAAAGAATCATTGCCATCGGACACCGCGCTAAATAATTATCGCTGAACATACATACAAAAAAAAAATTTTGAAGTTGGTTAAAAAGGAAGCAAAATTCAGGTATAGTTAACAGGAAATTTTTTGTAGAAAACGCGATTTCATATTGAAATAGTACATTTATTTTTTTATGTAAAAAATATAAAAAAAAAACTTTTTTGTTTTATTTTACCTTTTTGCTTTTTGCGTTTTCTGAACATTCCTTCATACAGTGTGTCGCATTTAAGATGAAGACACCCCTATATTTTGTCTATCTAAATTAATACAGATTTGAAGTTTTGCACAGTCATACAGGGTGATGGTTCACATTTTTTAAGATACTCTCAACTGGAATTTAAATTTTAAACGCGGCCTACTGCGAATCCACAAACAGGGTCATTTTTCGATATTTTTCTTCGCGTTAGAGATATCAGAAAAAGTTATTTGAAAAAGTTGTTCCGAATATCATTCTAACCTCACACACCAAATTTTATGACAAAATTCGCATTTTTAGTTTTTTCATTATTTTGGTCAATACACAAAATTATTAAAAGTTGATTTTTTTTATTCGATAAATTAGTGTGCCATAAATAGGAATAATTTGACACTTGTGAAATATTATTTCCGTGTTAATCTGAATCTCTTTAAAATTTTTGATTTAATGTTCTCATATTTCGGATGTAACCTTCTGTTTTTTTTTTTTATTTTTACTCACACCTTTGCGAAATCAAACAATCAAAAAAATAGAAATAGAGTAGGTTATATTTTGATTCTGAATGAGTTTAAATTTGTGCTGTTATTAAGCGTGTTTGTCACATCGGGTAACTATTTATAACCGAGATGCTACTAGTTATTTTTGAGATTTAACCGACCGATAAAAATAAAATCAAGGTTATTTATTAGGGCTGTATATCGATGCCCATACATTTGAAATTGGTTTATGTGTCATACTGATTTTAATTAAAAAATGAAGATTTATTTATCCATTTACCCATAAGTATACGTTCAAAAGTCGGAATCAATCGAAGCACCGTTTTCGTTCTAAGGCGACAACAAAACTAAGTTAATTATTTATTTTTGTTACTTTATTTATTGTTTTATACAAAAAAATTATATCTAAGACCGAAAACATCTTTTTTGTTTACTTAAATAAATTTCCCTCCTTGGTAAAAGGACTCTCCAAATACTCATTGTTACAACTGTAAAATTTTGATTTTTGTGATATTGGTATTGCCATTAAAAATTTACTCCCCTCCCTTTTCAATACCTGTACCAAAAAAATGATGAAAATATCGTTTCTTTATTTTTAAATGAGAACTAATTGCCAATATTTAAATCTTTGTTTTTGACTTAACGGTGTTCTTATATATGTATAAAAATGTTTTTAAGAATCCTACACGAACATACATGGGCGTCGTTACACAATATAGATACAGTTTTATAATCTTCCATACAAAATACCCATACAAATAAGGAGGAAATATGTAAATGCTTTATAAAAACTACAAAAAAATAAATATATGTCATTTATTTCAAAATGTATGTACATCTGTATCAATATATACTTTAAAATTGAATCAAGCACTTTGAATTTGATCACAGTAAATCACCGATTTAACTTATTTATTTAAATAAATATTAAGGCACATCTTAAGGAATAAAGGTTTTTATCTTTTATGCGCTAGATTTATATCATTGAAATTAAGTTTAATGTGGAGACAGTTGTATTATTTGTACAGAGCGATTTCACATTCTGGAAATCAATCTACAAATGAATCCACATTAATAAAACAATTTGTTCAAGATCTATTTACGACATCGTGAACTTGTACTTACAACATAAAGAATTCGAAATTATACAAAGTACGAAAGGTTTTTGGAAGTATTTATAAAATTAATTTAAAATTTTTCCAGTTTCATCTGGATAAACTTCTGTTTTTTCTTATATGTGGAATAACTGCGCTTCCCATTTTATCGTGGTTGAACTTTGTAAAAAATGGATGGTGCAGTACTTCGCCTAAAGTTATTCTTTCTAATGGTTCGTATTCCAACATTTTAAATATAAGGTCAAAAAGAGCATTGTGATCTGGATCTTCAGATTGGCGGTATTTCTGTAAGATTGAAAATAACTGTATTATGAGTATGAAGGTGTAAAAAAATAGTTCTTTATTTTTCAAATAGTCATTTTTATTTGGCGAAGTGATTGCTTCATCATTAAGCATACCTAAATGGAGAGTCAATGTATTGAAAGGTGGAAAATATTCAATACAAAAATGAAAATTGAACAAAAAATAGAACAAAGGTCAAAAAGGGAGGTTAATATAATAATTTAATTTACCATGACATATTCATTACGGATAAGCTACGCAATTTTAACATACAAAGGCCTTAAAAGAGTAATTATGTAAGAGAGATTTTTATTTTAAAGGTTAAAAAACTAAAACAAATTAGAGGTGCCTCATTTAGGTTGGAGAAATCAAAATTACTACTTGAATTTAAATAAAACAATAACAATACTCGTACAATGTTATAAAAAACAAAAATGTTGTTTTTTTAATAAAATCAAGACTGGATAAATTAAAAAGTTTTTTTAGAAATAGTAAAACCAATGACAGTCCCCAGATAGCACAAAGTCGTCTTAAAGACGCCTTGCATTAGAAATAACAGGCGTCTTTAAGACGTCTGGTGTTACAAAAGGGGACGTCTTTAAGACGTCTTATTATTGGCTTATATTAGTCTGTAAAGCTTTTAATGGTTTTGTAAAGCCTTAAATAGGCCATAAACAAAACGTCTTTATGACGATTTATTAATAGCTTTTAATGGTATTGTAAAGCCTTAAATAGGCCATAAATAAGACGTCTTTAAGATGATTTATTAATAGTTTATAATGGTTTTGTGAAGCCTTAAATAAGCCATAAATTATAACATTTTAAAATTCCAGTTAAAAATGTTATTTTAATTGTGTGACATCCTGTATAAATAGTATTTAATTAATTTCAATTTAATATTCAATATTCCTAAGAAAGGGAAATTTCGTGAAGTGGGAGTACAGTAAAGCAAAAGATTTCGCCATTAGATTTTGAAATTTCATTTATCGATATTATCTCCTAGTATCTACTAGTGTTTGGCTGTACAAGTGGTGAGTAAAAAAAAAGTATAATGTCGTTGTAAAAATATCTCCGTAGAAATAATATTTCAACCTGTTGTTAGTTAGTTTTTTTTTGAAAGTCAAGTTAAATTTTTCTAAATTATGTTTTTATAATTTATTTTGGTTGCTGGAATTGCACAGTGTTTATATTAATTAGTTTTTATTGTATTTTGATTTAAATTTAAAAAAGCAGATGTTTCAAATTTAATTTATATCTCATACAAGAGCCATGTGAAAAACAGAATTTATTTTTTGCTTAGAAAACGAATAAGAGCAGCTAAAAGTTAAAAGTTAGAACTAGAAAAAGAAAGAACAAGGTATGGTGTTCGTACTCGAGTAGCAGAATGAATTATCGAAAAAACGAGATTTGATGTTCGCTCCCGAGTAGCAGAATTATAATTCGACTGCATCCTAAGGAAGTTGACACCCAAAACCAAATAGTGGTAACTAAATAGTGGCTAATTTTATTATTGGACATATAAAAGTTAATTTACCAGCTTAAATTTAATATTTACTTGTTCCTGGACATTTTCACTTTTTACTGAATAAACTAATTCATTTTTATAAATATATATGTTTTAATTAATTTCCTTTTGATAAAGCTAGAGTTTATAAGTCTCACTGGCTTTTTAAAAATAAAGAAAGAATTATTGACGCCCCACTCTCCCAGAAAACTATTATCCCCAAAGGTGTCTATTAGAAAAGCCGAATTTACGACTGAGAAAACTATATGGTCAATGTGCTAATTTCTTTTTAATTTGATCAAAGTTAAGTAATGTTTGGTGTTAAATTTCTATGAGCTAGTCAAAATTTCTTGTAAGTGTTTTGAAATTAACATTTTATTGTAAAGTAACGCCGACATATTACAAATTTAGACGTCTTCAAGACGACTTATTAATAGCTTATAATGATCTTGTGAAGCCTTAAATAAGCCATAAATAAGACGTCTTTAAGACGGTTTATTAATAGTTTATAATGATCTTGTGAAGCCTTAAATAAGCCATAAATAAGACGTCTTTAAGACGGTTTATTAATAGCTTATAATGACATTGTGAAGCCTTAAATAAGCCGTAAATAAGAAGTCTTTATGACTGAGTGATGAACCGACCGATGGGTCTCCAGCCGAGAGCACTTTACATTCTCAATTGGGGCATCATCGGGGGGTTTATAGCCCACTCAGCCAGTGAATTATGGCATAATACAATGGCTTTCTACTGGACCACGCACATAATGGCTGCGTTCATCCGCGCCATTTCAAGGAGCGCTACAAAAGTAGCGATCACTTACGCTACCTAATCGATCTTTATGCACGGATGAACCATGTTTAAAAAGTGACATTTGATTTTGGTTTATTCATTTTACTTTTGAGTTGAATGTCTCTGGTTGAAGATTTGTTTGTTTATTTTTCAATTGCTAATATGCTAATATAACCCTACTAGTCACCAAGCAAACCGTGGACGTAAGTGCATAAGATAGATCAGTGATCACCGATCAGACGTAAATAAAATGCGCTACTTTTAATGGCGGCCGCTCCTTGAGCGAAATGTCAAAATACACCGTTCATACGTGCCACTCGAGAGCGCTACCAGATCGATCAGGTAGCATGTGGCGCGGATGAACGCAGCCATTATGATAACCCTGTTTTTCCAGGGGACAAAACTGTAACTAAGACAAGACAAATTAAACTCTAACAAATACCGATTTCAGACACACGAAAATTCCTTAATTATGCCCCCAGGACAAGGAGCGAGGGCTGCTATATTTGCGTAACAAAAATAATAAAATACACGGAATATTTTAGGCGAAGATGCTTGTTTTTGCCAGGGTGGACATCTACTTTTAACAAAATCATCCTGTAACTTATGCTTATGTGTATATTGTAAATATTTTTTAAAATGTGAATAAATGTTTTAAATAAATAATATGGATGTAGCCAGACGTCTTTAAGACATCTTAAGAATAAAGAAAAACTCTCACATTATTACGTCAGAATTATGGTCTGGTATAAACCGGACGTCTAATAAGTCGTTTTAATAACATCCTAGCACATTGAGACCAAACCAAAACAAAAAGAAGACGTATTTCAGGGTCATCTATCAAATGAGTTAACAACTAAAAAGTAGGTGCCTATAATTACTCTAGTGAAGATATTTACCTGTGATGGTTACTGAAAGAAAGTATAGACAGCTTTAAAAAATTAAAGAAATTTAATGTTAAACAATTAAAATGAAAATTATAAATAACAAATTATACATAATAGAGATAAACTGTCATTAGTTTTGCTATCTTATCTTATCTCTAAAAAACTTAAGCTATTTAATTTCTATTTCATTTTTAATTTGTCCAGGCTTGATTTTATAAATTTCTTTAAAATATTTGTTTGTTTGTAACCTTGTATTGTTATTGTTTTATTTAAATTCAAGTAGCGATTTTGGTTTGTCCATCCTAAATAAGGCACCTCTAATTATTTTTGGTTTTTTAACCTTTAAAATAAAAATGAAATAGGTATGCACAGTAATTGAGCTGAATTTATTTCATTTGGCTGTTACACATTATAGGTATAAAAAAATGTAATTATAAAATATCTTTAATAGGTATTTTTTATTTTATTTTTATTTTTAAACATATGATGATAAACTCATGTTGAAGTCTTTCGCGCACCTTGACCCTTACATACTCGTAATATAGTTCCTCAACTGACTGCAAAAAGTCGCATGTCGTTTTTTAATGTTGTTCACCCCCCTCCCCTACATCCAACTACAAAGAGCCGATAAAAAAGAGACGTGTCACTTTTTATAGTCAGCTAAGAGACTATCATTATTGAAAAGTTAAAGAATTCATTGATTTACTTAATCAAATTTTAGTATGTTATTAGTAATTCTTCAACTTTCCAATATTTCGATTTCAAACGTATTTGTAGATGACTGAATTGAAAAAGATGTGTACTTACCAATAACGGTTTACAATTATTTCTAACATATCTCCCTGCTGCACTTTTATCGTCCCATTCAAGTTTTCCTTTGTAAAAGTACCGTGTTTTCGATCTCTTAGCTATGCTAAATTAAAGAGTTTATTTTAAATAAGCATTTTGTAAATAAATGAGAAAAAATATTCATACAATTTTCGATCCAACAATGTCTAATTCAATAGTTGAATTTATTATTGAAACAGACCATAATGCAGTTCTGAATAATCAGATACCTACATACATTTTAATCAATCAAAAATTAAGTTTACTTAATATTTAATAGTATTTTCGTTTCTATAAAATCGGTTTTACTATAACTTTTTTTAGTATAATTTACTAAGGTCCAACTGTCTGGAAAAATCCTTATGCTTTGCTGAAATAGATAATAGAAAAAAGTCCAATGTTTCAATGTACGAAAATTAAAATTAACTTTTCTCTAAACATACATTTCAAAATTAATTATCGTTTATACTAACCTCGCGGGAATTTCTCCAATAATTCGCTGCATCATCGCTAAATGTTCTCTGTTATCATGGGTTTGAAAAAGAGTTATACCTAGGTACAATTCAAATAATATACAACCTATGGACCACACATCGCACGGTTGTGACCAACCTAATTCTAAAAATTAAATTGAAACACTCAAATTGATATTCACACAGTAATGTTAACTTTATTTGGCAAATAATTTAGGTAACGAAAATGTAAAAGAAGTTGAGGTTTGTCGAATAGAAATTTATTTATGTAAACATACCTAAAATCACTTCTGGTGCCCTATAGTGGCGTGTAGACACTATGGTACTATGATGTTCATGGTCAAAAGTGGCACTACCAAAGTCTATTAACCTAACATCAGTTCTCTTAACCCTCATCACATCTCGTCTCTAAAAAAATGTTTATCGTTGTTTTTAGAAATTTTTGTATATGTATTTGTATTCGTACCTTTTTTACGTCATAAACCAGTTCATAGGAAGAATCTACGAACAAAATATTTTCCGGTTTAAGATCCGTATGGGTAAGTCTGTTTTCATGTAAAAATTTTACGGAATAACACAATTGATAGCCGATATGACGAACTTGGTCCAGTGGATAAGGTTGGTAGTTATTATCTTTCTAAAACAAAACCCTGACTGAAACAATGTAATTGAACTGTATTCACAATAAATATTGGAATGCAACATTTTTATTCATACAGACGAAGTAAATGTTATAAAAGGGAATGGAGGAACAATAAGGACGATTTATTACGAGTGACAAAAAGTTCGGAAGTGCAAATAAAACTTTTTTTTGTAAAGATCAGAATATACAGCAAAATTATCAAAGTTTTAATGGCTGAACATAAACAATCCAAGAAAATTGTATTTAGCTTATCGGTACATAAAGTATTGCAGATATTTGTGGGAATTACCAATGAAAAGGTTTAAAATACCTAAGCAATGTGGCAATATTATATTTTTTTGGTGGGCTGTTTGCAAACAAGAAACATTACTCGTATTGCTATATAAAGTTAAAAATAAACCGAATGAATGGATCGTTAAAAAACACCTCTAACTAATTACAAAATAATTAAAACCCGTTTTAGAACATAGTAATAGTTAATATATAATTATTTTTATCATTTAGAATTTAAAGGATCATAAATACATTAAAAATAACTTACCAAAAAATCGAAAACACTCAGGCCTAGCATTTCGAAAGTAATGCACATATGACCATAGTAATCGAACCAGTCCAACATTTTTACACACAAGCTAAAAAACATTAATAATTTTTAGAATATTTAGAAAAGTATTTATCTGTTGTTTAAATATAAGAAAACAAAATACAGGATGATATCTAATTAAATACTTTGTTTACTGTATACAGGGGGGCGCATACTATACGCGTCGGTCTCTTTAAATTTTTTTTCTTAATAGGGATATACAGAGCCATTAACACTACATTAAAAATAATTTGGAATATACAGGGTGACCCAAAAATAGGAATTTATATCAAAGTTGTGTTTTTTTAAAGGTGGTGTATTTTGATTCCCCGGAAAAAATAAAGTAAAGTTTTTTGTAATGTTTCCTATACCTATCTCTTTTCGTTTTTGAAACATTTAAAGGATTCTTAATTTGTAAGTTTGAACAACATATATAACCTAGTATGTCGCGGTTATTTAAAACACATCAACAGTCACCTGCGATATGCGTAGCCAAGATATTAGACTATCGTTTAAAATGCAAATTTTCCATTATATCATACATGGTGCTCATTTAGTCTAATTGAATTCGATTTTAAATGGCACTCTGTATTTAATGACTGATAGACATTTAAATTATCTTCCATTCCATATAAGATTTCCCTATACCTAAATTCGATGGATCTTTAGTAAATAGCTGTTTTTTATTTTTAACATACGGATTTTATCATATTATTTTTTAATCATAGTAACCATAGAGCAAATATCACTCAAAATATGGTATTGAACGAAATAAACATTTTTATCACTTTTCAATGTTAAATAGTTTTAATGTAAACCAAAACTATAATTTTTTTAATAAAAAAAAAACATTTAATGACAAAAAAATTTGAATTATTTGAAAACTACACACAAATGAAAAAGAGTAAGAAACAAATTGAAAAAGAAACAAAAAATGAATTATAAAAAATGTTCAAAGTGACGCCCACACAACTGAACTCGTTTTTCAAAGGATCGTTTCACTTTGAGAAGAATTTCTCCAGTTACTGTCTGAAAAGCAGCTCTTATTCTAGCTTTCATATCTTACTCCGCTGGGGTGTAATAAACTATACTTTGTATGTGTCCTCATAAAAAAATCCAACGACGTCAAGTCTGGAGATCTTGGAGGCCAATTATGTGGACCACCTCTTCCGATCCATTTATTAACAAAACGCCGGTTTAAAATGTGCGGGGGCTCCACCCAACTGCATCCACATTTTCTGTCTAGTATTTAAAGGTACATTATCGAGGAGCCCAGATAATTTACTCCGCAAAAAATTTTAAAATTTTCTGCTATTAAAGTGACCGGTAAAAAATAAGGACCAATAACATGTAAACCTAATATTCCTCCCCACACATTCAAGGATCATCGAGAGTACGAAAGACGTGACGATTTTCAACACTATAACATTGTCATGAATTCCTAAGCCGACCCTGTATACTCACGCAATCAACTCGCGACCGAAGCAACGCTGACGTGTGGAAACAGCCGGACCGCTCTCGAATGTCAGCCGCTGATTTACTCGAAACATCTGGAATGGCGGGGGAGTGCCGTTTAGTCATCTTCGCGAAGTCTCTAGCATTTTCCAGTAGCGGAGTTAGACTAATATAAATAGACGACGTATCAGCGCCGAGTTTAGTTTAATATAGAACGTTGTATTGAAAAGTAAAAGTATAAGAAATAAAATAGAATTGTTAGTTAGTGTTCAAATATTATATAAATTAAATAGTACGTCTGAAATAAATTGTAAATAGTGTGTTTTTAAATAAATAAACTTTAAATAAATTAGACTTTCGTCACAATATAATGAAAGTTATGGCGATTAACGAGTCCATTATTATGAAACGTGCACTCGTCCGAAAACAGAACATTATCCAAAAAATCCGCATCTGATTCTACTTTATCCATAACCCATAAACAAAATTCGATTCTTTGTTGAAAGTTCCTTTGATACAGTTCTTGGTGCAGCTGTATCTTATAAGGATAAAGTTTATGCTTTTTTATTATTCGTCCAATACTTTTCCTACTTATTCCAGTTTCTCTACTAATAGCCCGATGACTTGTGTGTGGATTTTCTATTAGTGAGCCAATAACCCAAAATTCATTAGGTATCATGATCTCCTACAATAGGTTGAGGCTGAATAATTTTTTTATAATCTACATTTCCGTTAACTTTAAAATGTTGTAGTCTGTCAGGTTTTTCTCGATCTGGGTATTTTTGGCCGTAAACTCTAGAAGCCAATAAACAGTTTTCATGACACTTACCAAGAACAAGCACCATATCAATTATCTGTTTTAGAATAAGTTTTTATGTTTCAAATTTGATTTTTCGTACATTTGATATCTAACTTACTAAATAGAAATGTCAAACTCGCATTTGACATTTAAATTCAATGGTCACTTTGACGGGAAAGAGTATTTACAAAACTTAGCTATGTCAAACATAAAAACAGATATTTACTAAAAAAACCGTTGAATTTAGGTATAGGGGTTGAATTTAGGTATATATAATTTAAATGTCTATCAGTTTAAGTTATTAAAAACAGGGTGTGCCATTTAAAATAAGAATATTATTCAACTCCATATTTAAATTGAATTCAATTAGACTAAATGAACAACCCTGTATGATGTAATGAAAAATTTGCATTTTATTCGATAGTCTAATATCTTGGCTACGCATATCGCAGGTGACTGTTGATGTGTTTTAATTAACCGCGACATACTAGGTTATGTTTTTCAAGCTTACAAATTAAGAATCCTTTAAATGTTTCAAAAACGAAAAAGATAGGTATAGGAAACATTACAGAAACTTTACTTTATTTTTTCCGGAGAATCAAAAGACACCATCAAATATAGGGTGTTCCCTTAAAAAAAAACATACCTTTGATATAAATTCCTATTTTTGGGTCACCCTGTATAATTAAAATTATTTTTAATTTGTAGTGTTAATAGCCCTGCACATCCCTATTACGTAAAAAATTCAAATTTTCAGTCGCTTTCCCTACAGAGACCGACGCGTAAAGGATGCGCCACCCTGTATAACACATTATATAACCATTGTGAAAAATATTGTTCTATAATCCTCTCAAGTGCATAGTTAATTCCATATAGGTTTATATTTTTTCTCTTAGTATTTAAGTATTTTAATAATTTTTTTATACCATGTTTTTTCTTATATCAAAACAAGTGTCGTCAACACTTATCGATTTATCTTTATTTCTGTATTTTGTATTTATATACATTTACTATAATTTGTATTCATTAGGGAAATAAAGTTATTTATTATTATTATTATTATTTCGCTGACACTTTTTAATTGACAACGAAATAATACTTTTTTTATCATTTTTAGCCTCAAACAATTTTTTTTTTAACTATTTAAACATCGCATCAAGTTTCGAAATTTTAAAATATTCTATAGGGATTGAATTAAAGAATGTCTATTTCTTACTGACGAGTCCTAATTGTTTTTTCTTATTTTCTCTTTCTTGATGTCACACTGTTAATAACTTAAACAATGCTGTGTACTTTAATTTTTTAATGAAAAATAACTCAAAGAACGTTGAATAATAAATGTAATAAATTGACAAGGGTCTATATTAGTTAAAACTGTCTGATTCAAAAGTGAATTGATGAATGCACAAATGCACATTGCACAATGCCGGTCAGCAGATTTCAACGAACGATTACGTCACTAGCTGGTGGTTGAGATTCGAATATCTCAGGAAAGCGGCTTTGTCAGATTGTCTATATTTTCCCATTTCTATGATTTTCTCCAAGTATAAAAGATAACTTAAATGGTCGTAAAATAAACACATGTGGCTTCAAGAGTAAAAAGAGGCTGAGTAAAATATTAATTTTTTTCAAAAGTAATGATAGTAATCGAAGTAACTTTACATTTTGAATTGGTACTCGTTACTTTGAATCTTTCCGAGTAACGAGTACTCGTGTAAACATAAATTGTAACAAAAAAAGTTTAAACAGATACGCAGTTTTTGAAATTTATTTTTACCTAGACTAGTTTTTGAAACTTATTTGCTTAAACTTTTTAACTATTCTAGTTAAACTTTTCCTTTAGTGCACTTTTGAAGCGTAAAATGTTGTTTTTACGGAGATTTTTTTCGAAAAACATTCAGATTAAGTGAAATTAAAAACAGTTTTTTATTTAGTTGGCAAAACTATGTACTATCATAGAGTGTAAATGTAAACGTCGAGCAATAAATTTATTGTTCTTTCGTTTATTCAAGACCCAAGTTTGGACTATATTATGATAGTCAGGCAGCTCTTCAGGCACAGCAAAGAGTAAAAGTTTACAATCCAAATAAATATTGGACCTGCAACACTCTTTCAATGCCCTAGTAGAACATAATACGGCAATTCTTGAATGGATGCTGAGAAAATGAGTAAGTGTTAACGAAAAAGTAAACCTCCTAGCCAGGAATAGATTTGAGAAAACACTAACTCTATCCCAACTCACATATATGTTATTGCTAAAGAAACATAACTTCGGGCAACTGCTAAACTTCAGTAAGAATAAGGAACAGCAGAAAGTAACAGGAATAAGAATAAATTGGTTTTTATAAGATTCCTACATCTTTTAAGGATATATGTATATTACCAATGTACGGCTTTATCCGCCAAGCTACCCAATCTTTACGATAGGCTCTTTAAATTACAATAGCAAAGGGTCATATTTGCTTCGTTTTCTAGAAAGGTCGCAATATCTCAAATAAATTAAAAAGGTATGATTGAGGTGAGTACTTTTAGAAACTTGGTATAAAAACGAGTAGAACTTATGTACCTCAGATCCCACGTTTCTAATCCTGAAAATATCACATTTCTATCAACAAAAGATTTTTCTGTTTTAATTTACCGTTAACATTTAATCATCGTTTATTTGTAATGGAGATCGTACACTAGCCCAGTTGTTAAACATTTTTGGCACAGTTCCCAAACAAATCACTTCATTTAATTTGTATAATGTATTTAATTTGTTCTCCTGATCAAAAATCTTTTGTACTTTATTGTTACTACTATTTTTATGAATAAGTTTACAATTTGGACAAGATATTGAGCTTGTTATTGTACAGTTGCAATTTATGTTTACACAATAGTGTAGTGGGAGTTTTATACAGTGTGGAAAGTAATTAAAACGAAAATATTTTTGATGTAATTTTAGATGTTTTTGAACGTTTGCACAAGTATTTTAAAACGTAAATCTTTTAAATTACACTAAAATATCTATACCTTATACCTGAAGATAACTGTATTAAGTCATAATTTGTAATTTTTTGATAGCCACTTATAGTCACAAAACTATTTTAAAGTAGACACCTAGAGACCTTTGTTTCTATATAAAGCAAAAAATTACAAATTATGACTTGCCTAATGGTTTTTTCGGGATGTGCGAAACAGTAAAAATATATATTTCTTAATAAAATACCTTGTATTTTACTTACTTTGTACAATCAGGATCTTTTTCAGCTAGTTTTTCTAGTACGTTAATTTCTAATTTAGCTGCTTCTCTGTATTTTTCTACATTTTTAATTATTTTTAAAGCTCTATGGCAGTCTCTAAAAACATATTAACATTAATTAAAGAATAAAACGTCAAAATTATACTAAATTATAAAGTAGTCTCCTGCAGAACAATTACTATTTTTATAATATTCTATTATGAGCATCCCAATGTAGTATTTGTTTGATCCATAAAGGGCGAGATAATTATTTCCACTTATATATAATAGGTATCAAGGTAGTTTTTGAAAACTGGAACACCCTGTATTATTTTATTATTGACTATCTTTAATAGGCTTTAAAACCAAATATCATATCCTAAGCTTAAGACAGCTGTATCATTAGTAAATGTGGGACACAAGGATTTTACTAAGAGGTGTGAGAATCTCTTAAATTTATAAATTTCTCAATGGATAATAAATCTTTACAATATCGCAGCCAAGGTGATAATACAAGACGAGTTGATCACCATCAGTACATACGAGGAGCTTAAGCAGAAGTTCAACTATGGCTATCAGGCTTTTTGGTAAATTTTGATGAGAAAATGATGTCAAATTTACTCACTTAACCAACCGTAAAGTTTTTAAATTGGTAAGTATTTTGTATCAATAGGAAAAAAAACAGAGAGAGAATTTTTAAAGTAATTTGGCTATTGGGGTCCGAAGTATTAGTTCATTTGGGACACGGGGTCTCTTGCCCAAAATAGTTTGGGAATCCTTGCTCTAAAATGTCATAGATATATAATACTGGTCCAAGAACACTTTACTGTGGAACGCCAGCATATGACTTGAGTTCAGAGTGTTCGCTTTCCATTTTAACTCTAAATGTTTACTTGGATGGATTATGATTCTAGTAGTTGGCATATTGCATCGGAAAAACCTTATTTAATTTAAATAGTAATCCCTAATGCCACACTTTATCGATATGAGTGGTAAATGTTGTCCACTTTCTAGTTAGTAATTTTTAAAAATCTTTAAGAAAATTAAATCAAAAAAATTGAAAGCAGGTAGGGTCCGATTACAATTAGAAGAACACAGGTACGTCATGATTTAGCAAAGTAATTAATTGGTTATCGCCGCCTACTGGGGGTTTAATGGAGTTTTAATATTATAGGAATATAGGAATTCTTTTTTTAAACCAAACAATGTACTTATTTTTTATTTATTGATAGTTATAGATATGTATTCGAAATTCGAAGTAATGGTTATGGCGTAGCTGTGTTCTTCTAATTGTAATTGAACCCTAAATAACTGAATTACAGAAGTTATTATTGATCATTTAACGTACACATACTTTTTATCAATTACCAAATTTTTTAGTAATGACCAAATTACTTCAAGGTTATATTTAATTAAATGTGTTCTTAAGATATAAGATTGTGTTTATATATTAGTACTAAATATTCTTCTACTGCAAAAAGTGGCATGTTGTATTTTTGCTTGCTATTTGTAGTTGGATGGAAGGGTGGTGGTGAGAGCTGTCGTGTAACCAGTCAAATTCAAAATAATGTTTTTTATCCCTCTGCAAGCATTTTATGTCGTCCGATCTTGCGATGTAGGGAAGTTTCTGCACTTACACTAAATCTTCTAGTTCATCTGACATGCTTCAAGCGAAAATAATTGAATCACTCTGTATAATTAAAAAACGTCAGGAGGGTTGCCTGAAGCCTATTATTACAAGAGATTTATTTTCAGAGAATTTCACAAAAACAGCAGTTGCAAAATATGAGTCTTTTACTTGAAAAAAAAGTAATTTTTATGTTTTTGAAAATATCTCTTTTAATTAAAAATTAAAATATGGAAAACCGTCAAAGGTTTTCACTGCATACTACTGCGTAAATAAATTCTTTGCCAATTTAATTTGGGAACGACAAATATTTAAGTTGCTACTTATGTCTTGATGATTATAATTAATTATAATTTACTTACTTTTTGAGATCTATTACTTTAACAACTTTTCCAAATGTACCCTCACCTAGAGTTCCTAAAACTTTGTCTGCAAAAAATAATTGAGAAAATTAGAAAAAAAAGAGATTGACTTTGAGAAATTTGTGTTAATTCTATTCAAAATATTTATTTGAAAATTTGTAAAAATTGGATGCAAAAGATTGAAATATTTTCGAGTAACCACTCAAGCCTTAATTATTAATTACTTACATCTATTTTGCAGAATATCGCCTGCTTTATATACCAGATGTCCCTCATCGTCATCTTCAATAGGAATCGGTGAACTCTAGCGATTTTCAATGAAAATACAAATAAAAATAGTCAACTTGAAAAAGGCAATTTTCTTTTTCATTACAATTAATAAATTATACTGTTACAACCATGCAATTTTTATACAGAGTTTTCTAATTTGCCATAGTATTAGTAACTTATATACAGGGTTGGGATAAAGTATGGAACCAAGTAAATATCTTTAAAACGAAAAGGATGATATCTATGAAACATTACAGGTAACTACAACGACTTATAACCCATCTGATGCTATATTTTTTGTTACTACTGTACTTCCGGTTTCACCGGAAATACCCTCAGCTTTTTTAATTTAAGGGGACACCCTGTACATTTCTGCAGATTTTAAAAGATCTTGTTATTCCGAATTCGTACATACTAAGTTTAGTGGAAATTATTCTGCAAAAATATACAGGGTGTCCACTTTAAATTAAAAAAGTTGAGTAACAAAAAATATAGCATCAGATGGGTTATAAGTCGTTGTAGTTACCTGTAATGTTTCATAAATATCGTCCTTTTCCTTTTAAAGATATTTACTTGGTTCCATACTTTATCCCAACCCTGTATTTTAAATATAAGATAATTCAATGTAATTTAAAAATGTATTATCTGATGGTTGTATTTTAGGATTTAAACTATGCATAACTTTTTGATAAAACTAATAATAAAAAAGTTTTCCATTATGTAGTTAACTTACGTAGACCTACACCAAGGGCGGCTCCAGGGGGGGCTATGGGGGCCATGGCCTCCCCAAGATGAAAATTCTGACGATTTCTAAAAAGCTAAAAAGGGAAAAATTCGTCTTGGAGCCTCCCTTGACCCATACTGTATATTTGAAAATTGGAAACTCTGTATTTACAGTCTGTTCGCTATACTTACGCGGGTTTCGGATTAAAAATGTTATGAGTATTTCCAGGTAAGTACCCGAAAGTTTGACCTGTTCTTTGGGGAAATATCAACTGGTTAAATGAAATGAAAAATAATGTACAACTTTTTAATTAAATAATAATGGAGAATCTTTTGTATAATTGAGAGCAGAATTAAACTTCTTCATTAATGGAGTCTAATGTGGCTATTATAAACCTAATAATAATTTTATATTACACTTTACACAGAAAATATGGTCTATGTATAATAAGAGGGTTATTTAGCCCAAATAAAATATTTTCTAACATAAAAATTTGTTCCATGTAGAGAATTTCAAATGAAAAATAAAAAAATTGAACTTGCCAACAAAAATGAAAATCAGTCATTATCATCCAAAATATCATAATCGTCACATCATCACTGTCATCACCATTAATTGTTATTATGATTGAACTTATTTCGTTTATTTTCACGAGTCCACCAATCTTCTATTAGTTTCTCGCACTTGGATATACAGTTCCGCCACACTTCTGGAGTTGCAATTGAAAGTGCTTTTCGCCAAGTTTTCCGAACTGCGTCGTCACTATAACCATTAGGCCCAATATGGTTTGCTATTCCCCATATATATTCGATAGGATTAAACTGGCAATGATACGGTGGCAAACGTAAAACTTGATGACCGTAACTTTCAATAATCTGATCCACAACAAAAGTTTTTGGTTTTGCGTGTATATTTGCCAAGCGTAATAATTCTGATTTTAATATATATTGAGGAAATGGTATATGTTCCTTTGTCAACCATTCTTTAATTTTATCAACAGTCCAAGAATTCGTTGGACTTTTGTTTAATACTTCAGAATGGTAAAAGGTGCATTGTCTAAAATAATTACGCTGGACTCACTTAAACCTGGGAGAAGTGTTTCATGCAACCATTTTACAAACATTTCTGTGTTCATATTATCGTGATAGTCATTGGATTTTGATTTAGATGAAAATATTAAAACAGCACCTTCTATAAAACCCGATTTCCCTCCTGCATATTAAATTATGTGTCGCTTCCCTTCTCCATCGGTATGTTTGATGGACTTTACATTATTATCTTGCCATATTCTCTTGGTTGCACCCCTAGAAAATATCCAGTTTCGTCTAAATATATAAAATTCGCCCCTTCTTCTTTAAATTTAGAATATTTTCTTAGAAAGTTAATTATCTTGTGCACGACAGAACTTCTTTCACAAAGGGCCTTTCTGTTATCATCCTTTTGAAATTTGAAACCCAAGTTATGTATCACTTGCCATAGACTTGTTCTGCCAATGTCGTCAAATTTTCTATCTATTAATTCCGAGAGAATTGTATTTAAGGTGACATGTTCCTTGTTGGCCCTCATTCGATAAATGGTATCACGAATTTCAAATTTCTTTCCATCTGGAATATCTTTCGTTTTCAATGATGGGCGAGTTTAGCGGTGATCTTCTTTCGGCAGTTCACTATTGTGATTTTGTAATACTCCTCTTAATTTGGTTTCACTAATTACTAGAGCATCGCATACGCGTTGTTGTACAGACATTACCGATTTTAAAGGACCGCCATTTTCTTTTTCATCCGTAAAATACCTATGTACACTACAAATTAGACTATCTACATCTAATACATGTCTAGGCATTTTTAAAATTTCCACTAAATTTACAATGTACATACAATGTCAACACTTGCAAAAAATCAATTCAACTGCAATATTTGTAACAAATTTAGTACCTACCCTAATGTTATTTTAATTTAAATCTGACCATTAGGGCAATTTTACCTAATTTCTTGGGAAGAGGCTTATTGGAACTGGTTGTCAATGACTAATTAGCATAATTTTGTTAATCCGAAACCCGCGTAAGTATAGTATATGAATTTGTGTATATTTTAATCGTAGAATGAAAATTTTGGTAAATTAAATTTGATTATCGTGTAAAAGTGAATAATTAAATATGTTTTACCTTTCAGTTGATTCCCTTTTGTTGATATGTTTATAATATTGAACTGAACAGTTGTAGAATTTAGATTAACTAGCCTGTAAAAAATAAAAATATTGTAAGACTAATTTTCCGTTTTCGTTGCATTAAAATATTACAATATGCCACAATAGAAGTGTTTTTAAATTTTATGTTGTTTAAATATATTAACTACTCGTAAACACTAATTAATTATTTTATGAAGAAATAATTTTTTGAAGAGTTTAATTTTTATAATAATGTTTACCAAAAGATCCATTCTACTAAATATGTTAGTAAGATTGAATGATGTCATTAATGAAAACTATATTAACATTATCCATCAAAATTGGGATGGGGAAAACATATCGCGAAATACGAACTCCCTATTGGATAGAATTTTTCTTATTTCTTTTTAAGAAGTAAGATAACAAAAAATAATTTTTCCTACGACCACTTAGTTGTGATACATATTTAGTCTTACGAGACGTTCTCTATATCACACGCGTGTAGATAAGAATCTACTTTCCGCATCAGCTGACAAATATGTCAAACGCATAATTTCTATTTTGATCTATGTAATGTCCATATTAATAGTAAAATAGATCTGATGATTAAATCGTCAACATTGATTTTTATAACTAGATTCTACATATTTATTTTTAATAAATTATTAAAATACTTTTAAAGTAACTACATTATTTAGGTTGAAATAAATATTTGATCAGATAATTTATTCAATCTCCACCAATGAGAGTAATTTTTTTTTTAAATTTGGAGATTAAAAAAATACGACTACCTATTGTTATTTGCTTATTTTAAATAGGTACATTTTATTTATCTTAATATCACATCTACAGTTAACCTTTTAGCTATTTATTTTATACTATTATAATTATTATTGTAAGTAGTTAAGTAGGTAATCATCTTTAATAATAAAAAAGTTCTTATATTCACAGAAAGAAAAGCAAAATGATATTCATTCTGACATTACAAAAAATTAAGTAAGTATAGGTTTAAACTAATATACTATTTTTTAATTATTATAAATATGATTGTATCAGTATGTACCACAAAGCACGTATCCTCTAGATACCCCACGCCAATGTTAGCCTTTTAAACCAAATTAGCGCCACCTTGTGTTTGGAGCAGGAACTATAATGACAATTGACAGAGGGCGGTAAATTCAAATTGTAATTTTTAGTAGTATATAGGTAGTTCTAAATTAAATTTTAAATTATTTCCACATAAATTATTTTATAAAATAAAGTATGGAACTAGTAAGTTCGAAACTTTTATTTTACAAAATAATTTAGGTCGATTATGACAAATTTGAGGAATTAATTTGTTATAACGGGTTGATGTGGAGAGTTGGTTTTGCATATTATTATTATTATTATTATTATTAAATAAATATAAGATATATCAACAAGTAATAAAACAGAATATTCCTAAAATATGTTTATTAATAACTTAAATATTATTAGAATAAAATAATATTTTTAACGAATACTTACTTGAAGCAAATAGATAGGTATACAACCTCAAATCTTTAAAATATCAATATATTTAAATGTGAAGTCGAGACTAGGATATTAAATTTTATTAACACTAAAGTAATATATTTTATAAATATATTTTTAAGTGAGGACAAATATAATATAGGTACTGGATTAAAAGGTAAATCCTTTTAACTATTCATTTACTGATAAATATTTTCCTTCTAAATACAGATAGTATACTCTCTTATATGAACAAGTATTAGAAATTAAAAATTAAAAAAAAACCGACTTCAAAAACGTGCAGATGCCATCACCACATCCTAACCAAATTTATAAAGGACCATCCCTGAGGTACCCCCTTACTAACAAAAAAAGAATCATATGAATCGGACAAGGTGGTAAAGCATTATCGCTAAACATACATAAAAAATGAAGAGTTTGAGGATTTTGTCATGGACCCAATTATTAGATTTTGACCAAATTTATATGGGACCACCCCTGAAGTACCCACTTTCTAACAAAAAAGAATCATTGAAATCGGACACCGTGTTAAGTCGGTTAAAAATGATTTAGGAATCTAGTCCAGTGATAAGTTGATTATCAATTAGTTGTACCTGTTTGTCTTTTTATGATGCATGGTGAATCAATGA